AGCTGATGTTAGATGGATCTTAGCTGAAAGCAGGGAATACCAGAAGAATGTCTATCTGTGTTTCATTGAGTATACATAGTAATGTATATTTTGGTCAGTACTGCAGCACATAATTTGCAGATGTTATTCTCATAGGTTCACTTGCAGATATTGAAAGACCGAATTTATTAAGATACTCATAATAAAAGGGCATAATAACGAAAAAGGAGCTCTGATGGACCAGTGGCAAGAAGCTGTGCTGCAATCCCAAAGGGGCATGGTTCAAATCCATCAGTTGTTCCATAGGAGAAAGACAAGCAGTCTCCTCCTGTGCAATTAACTGCCTCTGAAAACCCACTGGAGGGTCAGCTATGGGTCAGTTCTGACTCGATGATACACAACAACAATAATGAAAATAATGGTAGAAGGTATTTAACTTATATCACAATCAAAGTAGGATTAGATCTGCTATAAATTGAGGGCTGATCGTATCTCTTATCTTGTCTTGCTCTCCTGTGCATCCTGTTAGTCACCTTCATCCTCTAACAAGCCTCGAGCTCCTCCTAACTATGCAATTTGGCCACGCCGTCTTTACATCTGACTCATTGCCATTTTTACTTCTTGCATCTTTTGAAGAATCCTTTGAGGCTGCCTTTTTCAAATGCCTTTTGCTTTAAAAAGCGTATTAGAATGTTTAGTAACAACAACAACAACAACAAAATAATCATTGTTTTGTTTTCTCTCTTATTTCCAAGGCTCTTTGTTTATTTTTTTCCCCAAAGATGAGTTGGAACATGCGTTTTTATTATTCTTGCAACATGCTTTTTATTATATTTGCATGTATATATTCTTTTTTGAAGTAATTACACCTTGGAGGGAGGATCCATTCTTGGTTTATACTTACCTCTAAGAAGGAGAGTTAGGATAGTATTTTTAATATGTTGTACATGTTATGCTTTTTCATGTAGAATGAAACACAGAATGAACCTTTCAACTCTAATGCCTGCAGAAAGATAGGCAATATTTTCCTGTGCTATTTTCTGCCTTTAACAACCTGCTGGAGGGTGAGTTATGAATTGGTTCTGAATCCATGTCAGTGAGTTTTGAGTTTGAATTTATGATCTCTCTAATTGCTAGAGAAATTAATTATTCTGAGCAAATATATATATATATGTGTGTGTGTGTGTATATATATGTATCTACATACATACATGTATTGTATTGTATATACCATAGAGTTATAACCAATCCATAGCTGAATATCCAGAGGATTTTTAGAGGCAGTTAATTGAACAAAAAGAGATTGCCAATTCTTCTTTTGCAGAATACACAT